ACTTATTTCGCTCTAGAAAAAGTTTAGCCAAAGAAATTAACGAATAGGCGTGAAAAGATCATACTGAAACGTTTTTCCAGGAGATTCTCTTATACAAACTTTATTAATGAAAAACTAAAACAACAAATGGATCTAACTTCTGCTTGCCGAAATTGTATACCTTTGCTTATTACAAGAAGATCATTTAGAATAAATAATATATAAATTATAGAATATAATATTATATAAACTGAATGGAAAGGTGAATGTGACATTGCATATTCCCCTACATTTTGTTACGGAACTGCCTTTCCTTGGGCAACGCCGGGCTAGCTCAGGGTGCCCAGGGCTGGGTCCGACCCAATGCCCGCAGTCCGCACAATTAAAAAATACCGAATTAATCGGACGTCTCGGACTACATTCCTCACGAAACACAACTCTCATCCCTAATTACAACAAAAACAGAACAAAAGGTAAATAGACAATTAAATATAGACGGACGGACACGGCTGAGACAAATTGGTGGCATTGGTGTTTCAGCCACGACGCCCCACCCATCCTGTGATGCCTCCTGGTTATCTAGGGGCATCACCCATCTCCGGCGGACCGGAGCCTATTCCAGGCGGTCTGGCGACCGGCTCATCTCCCCCAGGTAAACTGGTCTACTCCATTTTTATAATAATATTTTATTTTAATTTATATGTACAAACGTATACTTCTTTTGGCTATTGGTCCTCAACCCACGCCCGGCAAGAGCGTGGCCTTAGCCTGGGATACGCTTGCGCCAAGGCTGCCTCTTTTGGGGACTCAAAACTCCCGGAGGAGAAGCCTTCAATGATTCGGCCTCAATCGGCCACAAAATTAAGTTTCCCTTCTTTGTTCCCTAATCCCTGTTGGAGCTCCAAGAGAAATATAGGGGTATGGGTGTTTGCAACGAAAAACAAACAAGAAAGAAAATTACCGGCTTCTACTCCGTTCCCCTTGGATCACAGCGCTCGTGTTGCACTAACCCCGGACCCAGGATACGCTCGAGCTGAGGACGCTGGTAAGAAACGAGTATGACACAAAACTCTTAAGATTATCATAAATTAAACAGCTAACTGGCAGCGCTCTGGGCTTCTGCGGCGGCTCTGGTCACGTTCTCGTCGAAAAGTGGCATCGGCTACTGCGCTACGGCTTAGGCGGTGTTGACTCCGGCCACGCTTCGGCGGCTAGGGGCACTACGGCGGCTTCGGCTACCGCTCCGGCTACTGCGCTACTGCTTACTCCGGCCACGCTTCGGCGGCTAGGGGCACTACGGCTGCTTCGGCTACGGCTCCGGCTACTGCGCTACGGCTTAGGCGGTGTTGACTCCGGCCACGCTTCGGCGGCTTGGGGCACTACGGCGGCTTCGGCTACGGCTCCGGCTACTGCGCTACGGCTACTGCGCTACGGCTTAGGCGATGTAGCGGCTCTCTGGTGGCGCTGAGGCGGCTCTGACGCGGCGGCACTGGACTATGGAATGGAGGCGGCGATCGGTCACGTCGTCCACCTTTTTCTCGTGGTCAAGTTCCTTTTTCTCGACTTTTTCGCGAAATCCGTCGCACACGTTTTCATCCACAAATTTTCTGTTCTGCCGGATTTTTTCCATTACCACCTCCATTTATAGCCCCGGTTCCTTCCCTCTGTTCCAGAGGTCCAGCCGTTACTTTTCCTATTCCTTCATTGCCTTTGCCGAGAGAAAGGGCAAGAACCCTTTCTCTTAGGCCGCATTCGAACTTCCCGGTTCGCTCAATTTCCTCGCCCCCCTCCTAGTCCAACCAATTCTACCTGTCCCTATCGATGTATCGATAGGCCTTCAGTCGGTTCTCAGCAACACAATTTATTTCTAAAAGCTATAGACCGATTTTTATATATATCAAATAGAAAATTTTAATTATTTTGTTTAGTTTTCCGATTGGTCAGCTATATAATATATTCGTCAAATGATTTTTTTTAGAGGTAATGCCTCGAAGAATGTCTATAGTGGTAAAGGCTTACAAAACCTATAAAAAATATAGTAGAAACTCAAAACTAAATACAAAACTTTGAAATTCGAGATTATTTGGGGCTAGAAAGTACCGGAAATTACGGAAAGTTTCTTTGGTTTACTTATTCCTTTGGCGCCACCCATTTCCATTCCTTTCTTGCCATCTTTGTTCACATTTTAATAGCGAATGTTCAACTTTGCACCGAAGAACTATCGCCTAGCTATAATTAAAACAAGTTCCTAAAATTCCTTTGGACAACAAAGAATAAAATAAAAATTTTCGGAACGGCAAAATTTTATGGACCATTCGTTTAACGGATGAAGGAAGGCAATTGGTTCTCTATGAGAAGACCCCATAAAGTTTATATTATTATACTAGCTGTACCCTGCCACGTTTCTCTGTGGCATATTGTGGTTAAGAGGGCACTTCTGAATACATCAAAGTTATGGCAAAAGCATCTTCCTGGCATAAGGTGAAGAAGGCAGTCAGAGTTGTCGTAGGCGGATTCAGGACTCTTTCTTGCACATTTAGTTCTGTGAAATAGACATGTTAACCATTCTCCAAATTGACTGCCAAGTGAACTACAGCTGGATAGCGTTCATGAATTGGGAACGAAAAAATTCGCCATGCAGCCTCGTTGCTGCTTATGTATCTTCCAGCCTGGTATTGAGAGATTTCATCGACAACTCGTACTGCATTGCTGTCACCATTTTCTGCCTGAACACCAAAAACTGCCATATCGCTGCCTTTATTCACGTACTTGCAGTATATTTAATCGATTTCACGGAATTGCAATATTCTACGTTGATGTGCGCTTTGTATGATTTTGACAATAGTGGTGAGTATGGAACCACCCAACGATTGTCTACCTCAATATCACCAATTCTCATGTTTAAATTTGCCGAAGTCCCTCCATCTTCAGTTGACCGTCTCCTATACAGAGGATATCCATCGTCCCCTGTTACGGTGTTGGCTGTAAATGCTCGAGGATATCGCTTGGAACACTTCCCGTCTACCATTCATGGTGAACATGGGTTGGGGGTACCACAAGGGCCATGGATCATGTTCTTGATGATAACTTCATGCAAATCCGTATCAACCTCAGTCCGTGGAGTCTAAGCGCATATAACATCGTCGATTTCCTCTGGAGTAATTTTATCATACAGCCAAATCAGTATGTGCGCATGCGGCAATCCTCTCTTCTGCCATTCTACTGAATACATCCAGCACCGCACAGATCCAAAAACTCCATGTTTCACAATGAAATCCATCAGTGACTTGAGCTGTTGTCTGAAAACACGGGCTGTGATGTCATGCCTATCCCTATATGATTGTCCAGGAAATAACAGCTGTACTATCTCGTCCCTAGCTGGATTGCATGTGAAGGTGATAAATAAGTCTGGACGGCCGTAGCAACGAACATATGCCTGGGCATCTTGAGCATATTCATGCATGTGGCGTGGACAACCTCTGTATGAGGATGGCAAAATCGTGAGCTTTCCAACGTTGGTTGTATTACAGTCATTCATCACAGCATCCCGCAAATGTATTTATTCCTCGGACTGAAATTTCGTCTGATTCAATCGAAGGAGCCTGACAGTATATGCAGACCTGATGCATCCGGCCAATAACGACATTGCGATTCGAGCTGTAATCAACAGTTGGATTATATCTGAATGCAAGACGATTGTATTGCTGGTTTTGATCTGCTGCAAGCTTTAAACGCGCTTCAGCTACCCTTGCCCTGTTGCGTTCATTATTTTGAGAGTGAATCAAATCGTTTTCTCTCAAGCCTATCTGCTCGTCTTTCGGCTGATTCCTCGTTGTGAATCTGCATTGCTTTCAGCCGCTCAGTCTCGCGGATGCAGGCCCGCTCTTCGTTAGTCATATTCGTAATCTTACTTCTGTTTGCTTCTGTATTGCGAGTACGACGACCCAAACTCGACTTCTTGGGTGGCATGACTTCGTTTCTTACTGAACCTGAACAAAAAAATAAAATTTTTATCTCCAATTTCTTCTTTCAATATGTTTTGAATGTTTGACAGGAAATGCTTTGATTCAGCTGGCTGCCTGTAGAGGGCGCAGCAGTAGGGGCACGGGGAAACGCGAAAAAATTTATATATTCGCAAATGCAGATAAGCTATCAACATCAAAAGTAGACAATAACCAAGCTGGAACATCAACGCATGTTGTGTAAAAATTTGGGCTTAAACGGTTCAGAACTTCTTAAGTCTATGAAGGAAGTAGATACGAACAGAGCATGTTTATATATATAGATTTATTATTATTATTTTATTATTTTTATTTTATCTGAGTAACTGAAAAACTAGTTTACGTTTAAAGGGACGGACAGATCGACTTGGATGTTAATCCTGATCATGAATATATATTCTATATAGGGTCGTAAATGTCTCCTTCAGTGCATTGCAATCTTCTGACTAATATTATGATAACCTGCAAGGGAATAATTCAGTCATTTCGTCGTAAAAAAAAAACATCTAAGCACAATGTTTTCGATTAATAAGGCTGTCATAATTGGACTGAAAAATAATTGTATGTGATGCTTCCATTCTAAGGATTGTGAATGAAAATAATATAATGTACCATTTAAAATTTTTTTTATTGAGTACAATTTATTTGACTTTTGTTTCATTTATACATATATTAATATGAATTCAAATTTATGCTGTTGTGTCGCATCTCCATCTGCCATCCGTCAAAAATTTTTTACCGTTACTAAAATTGCTTAATATATTCGTCATCTGAATTTGATTTAAATTTGTTTGCAAATTTGAATTCTTGTCGGTTTACAAGGAACAATTTAACTATATACATTTTAAAATTTTATGCAACCAAGATTTGCAGTATTGCTGTGTAAATTATATGATTTAAGTGCGAACGTGGTATTTAACATTTACTGCCCTACTTTCGATATTTTACAGCGCGTCTGATAACAAGTTCCAGAGCTCCTCTGAATGTTATTGGTATTTCGATTGAACGTTTTTTACTTCCTTTTGGATTTTACCTTCTCGTAAGTTGGTTGTGCTTTTGCACTGGTGGAAAATCTACAAAATTTGGCTGAATCATTGTATAGTTTTGCGAATTATGGATTATTTATTGTTTTTTATTATTAATCTCAAGTGCTTTAAACACTATCGTGTTGAATGTATTTACACATCTATGGATAAACATATTGATTAGACCACGAGCGCATAAACAATTTTAACATTTAAACGTCTACATTGTAGAATCTTTAAATGTTATTGGAAACAAAATGAAAAATCGATTCGGTCGAATAAGTTGATGGACCAATGATGTGACTGTTATAAAATAACGAATGAATTTGTTACTAGGTCTATCAATTTTCGAAGATGGGGGCCTACCGCTATATGCAGGAACTGTATAGGAAGAAGCAAAGCGATGTTATGCGATATTTATTGCGCATTCGCGTTTGGCAATACCGTCAACTGACTAAGTTACATCGTTCGCCCAGACCTACTCGCCCGGATAAGGCCAGACGTCTAGGATATCGTGCCAAGCAAGGATTCGTTATTTACAGAATCCGTGTTCGCCGGGGTGGTCGCAAACGCCCAGTGCCTAAGGGTTGCACCTATGGAAAGCCGAAGAGTCATGGAGTTAACCAACTTAAGCCCTATCGCGGACTGCAGTCAATTGCGGAGGTAAGAATAAAAATAATTTAACCAAAAATTATATGTATATTGATGACAACAAATATTAACATACAAATTATGTTGACTTTAAACTTCCTTAGATGTCTGACACATATATACCTAAATTTTTAATTATATATGTATATGTATATTTCTTAAAATCATGATTTTATCTACTTTAAGGAACGTGTTGGTCGTCGACTTGGTGGCTTGCGAGTTTTAAATTCGTATTGGATTGCGCAAGATGCTTCATATAAATATTTTGAGGTAATCTTGATTGACACTCATCACAGTGCCATTCGGCGTGATCCAAAAATTAACTGGATTTGCAAGCATGTCCATAAGCATCGTGAATTGCGCGGTCTTACTTCAGCTGGAAAGAGTTCCCGCGGTATTGGCAAGGGCTATAGATACTCTCAGACTATTGGCGGATCTAGGCGAGCTGCCTGGAAGCGCAAGAACCGCGAGCATATGCATAGGAAGCGTTAATGTGTAAATTTCATTTAAAAGCCATTTGAAATCATTTTTGGCTAATAAATCAGCACGCAAATAATACCAATCTGTTTTTGATTTTTGTGTATACACAAGGTGCATACTGCAATAACTTCATTAAACAGTAGTTCATGTAGCTTTTAAAAAGTTTTAGTGTATACATTCATCTTCCATAACAAAGATCCGAAAATTTTAAGAAATAGTTTCCTGTTTTCAAAGGTATATTTATAACTTTAGATATATCCACATTGTTGTATTCTAGAATTTTGGTTTTAATTTATAAAAACCGGACTACTATATTACTTAGCTGCCATTTCGGGAAATTAATCCAAATATATAACTGCGATGTTCTTATACCCTTGTATATATTACCCTTACAGGGTAATATAATATCAGTCAGAAGTTTGTAACGCAGTGAAGGAGTCACCTGCGATCAAATAAAGTAGATATATTCTTGATCAGCATAAACAGCCGAGTTGATCTAGCTGTCTGTCAGTCCGTTTCTACGCAAACTAGTCACTCAGTTTTGAAGCTATCTGAATGAAACTGTAGTCTTCTATATACTCTCATTCGTGTATATGTTGGAACGGGCCGTATCGGACGACTATGTATATTATATAACTGCCATCGGAAAAATCCACAAATTTTTACAAAAAAAAAAAATTAAAACATTTTAAGTTTTCAACAGAATTGTATAAAATTTAAGATGCCATTTTATATTATTTTACAATTTTGTGAAAATTTAATGAAAATCGGACTACTATATCATAAAGCTATCTTTTATACATATATCTTTATTAGTTTTCAAAAGAATTTGATCAAATTTGAGATATAGTTTTTATACCCTTGCAGGGTACATATTATAATTTCAGTCTGAAGTTTGTAACGTAGTGAAGGAGGCACCTCCGACCATATAAAGTATATATATTCTTGATCAGGATCAACAGCCGAGTCGATCTAGCCATGTCCGTCTGTCCGTTTCTACGCAAACTAGTCTCAGTTTTTAAGCTATCTGAATGAAACTTTGTAGTTAGCCTTCTATATACTCTCACTGGTATATATGTCGGAACGGGCCGGATCGGACGACTTTATCATATAGCTGCCATAGGAATGATCGGAAAATGTTTACAAAAAATTTTTTAACATTTTCAGTTTTCAATAGAATTGAATTAAAGTATAGCCATTTTATTATACTCTTCAATTTTGTGCCAAATTTTATGAAAATCGGACTACTATATCATATAGCTCCCATAGGAACGATCGAAAAATTAATACAATTAAATTTATAACTTTTTCAGTTTTCAGCTGATTTTCATCAAATTGGAGGTATAGCCATTTTATATTAGCTTAAATTTTGTGTCAAATTTCATGAAAATCGGACGCTATATAATATAGGTGCCATACAAACGATCGATTCATGTAGAAGAAAAATGCAAATCTGTGAATATAAAGCTGCAAATATAATATGTATAGGTGAATGAAATGAAAGCAGGTATTACTTCATTGTTTTTTAACACAAATATATATAATTTATATGGTATGGATTCCTAGTCACAGAATTTTTATCTGCGAGGGTATATAAACTTCGGAGTGCCGAAGTTAGCTTTCTTTCTTGTTTTAAATAATTCTACAATTTTGTGTAACATTTTATGAATCAGACTTTTCATATAGCTCCCATAGCAACGATCAAGAAATTAATACAATTAAAAATTGTAATTTCAGTTTTCAACAGATTTTTATCAAATTTGATATATACTCATTTTATATTAGTCTTAAATTTTGTGTCAAAATTTTTGAAAATCGGACGATTATATCATATACATAGGTGCCATACAAACGATCGTTAGATTTAGAGGAAAAAAGCAAATCTGTGTATGTAAAACTGCAAATATAATATGTATAGGTGAATGAAATGAAAGCAGGTATTACTTCATTGTTTTTTAACACAAATATATATAATTTATATAGAAGTTCTATCTGCAAGGGTATATAAACTTCGGCGTGCCGAAGTTAGCTTCCTTTCTTGTCAGTTTAAATTTTCAAAAACTTTCAGCCGTTGCTGTAATACCTCGGGAAAACTGCATGCAAGACTATTGAATTTTACTAGCAATAACTCAATGGGTTCTTTATTGGAATAATTTTTTTTAATTTCAGAATTTAAGTATGTTTTTAGAGCCTTTAATTGGTCACAACGATTAAGTGAGATGTCTTTAATGAATTTAGCAGACAGTTTTGCGGAAGCGTTCAATATCTCTTCACCTGAAGAAGATAGGAGTTTCTCCGGTTGTAGAATATACTACTCAGGTTGCAAAGGCTCTGAAATCTTTCTTTAGTTTGAGAAATTAATATATCTAAACAGCAATGGTATACATTGACTTTGAAATAGGATTTCGGGTCGGAAATTGTCTCATCTTGTGATAACTCATCAAAAAAACGCTTCGCTATCTTTCGCCTACTGTTTTTAAAAACGGTTGTTAATTAAGCAAACTGTTAAATGAATTCTGATTTCTAAATTGGCACAGTCAATTTAAAAGATTACTTAATAAAATACAAGATTTCTGTAAGTCATTATTTTCATGCTGTAGAGCTTTAGAAACAGGATAAATAATTTCAAATAGTTGAGAAAAAAATGTAACGAGCACTAAGAAATTAAAACTCTAAAATATTATTATACTTTTACATTCTTCACGTTCATCTTTATACCCTTGCAGGGTATTATAATTTCAGTCAGAAGTTTGCAACGCAGTGAAGGAGGCACCTCCGACTATATAAAGTATATATATTCTTGATCAGGATCAACAGCCGAGTCGATCTAGCCATGTCCGTCTGTCCGTTTCTACGCAAACTAGTCTCTCAGTTTTGAAGCTATCTGAATGAAACTGTGTAGTTAGTCTTCTATATACTCTCACTCGTACATATGTCAGAACGGGCCAGATCGGATGACTATATCATATAGCTGCCATAGGAATTGTCGGAAAATTTTTACAAAAAAATGTAACTTTTTCAGTTTTCAACAGAATTTGATCAAATTTTGAAATATAGCCATTTTCCTATACTCTACAATTTTGCATAAAATTTTATGAAAATCGGACTACTATATCATATAGCTCCCATAGGAACGATCGAGAAATTAATACAATTCAAAATTATAACTTTTTCTGTATTCAGCTGATTTTCATCAAATTTGAGGTATAGCCATTTTATATTAGTCTTACATTTTGTGTCAAATTTCATGAAAATCGGACGACTATATCATATAGGTGCCATACAAACGATCGTTAGATATAGAGAAATAATGCAAATCTGCAAAGTAAAACTTTAAATATAATATGAATAGGTGAATGAAATGAAAGCAGGTATTACTTCATTGTTTTTTAACACAAATAAATATAATTTATATTGTTGAGATTCCAAGTCATAGAAGTTATATCTGCAAGGGTATATAAACTTCGGCGTGCCGAAGTTAGCTTCCTTTCTTGTTTTTATTTGAAATTAAATTTAGTTGGTACAAAGTTTTCATGATTAGTAAATTTTTTAATTTCTTTACTGCTAATAAAGCGTTGTTCTTAGAAGACCATTTGGTAGGACATACCTTTTTAAGGGTAATCAAATATTTTTCAAATGATTTTTTTTTAAATTATCGAAAAAAGTAGATACTTCACAAACATGTCTCGCAGCATCGTTCAAAACCAAGTTTAAGCGTGCGCAGCACAATGAACATAATAGGCATTTGGAGCATGCTCTTTTATTTTTAATCCTTCGTACACACCCGACATAACATTTGCTCCATCGTGTCCCTAGTCAAATCAATTCCATATTCTTTATTCAAATTTAAAATGCATCCTTAAGGGTAGATTACAAGATACTAAAGTAATTATAACATTAATTATACAATGCAGTACATCTCTCCAGAATGTAATTTTACTATCGATTTCACTTTTTAATAGAGTATCAATGGTATTTCCTTGCAACCTTTCCTTGTGGTTTAAAGGGACCCAATTTACAAATTATTTTTTGTTCGCATTCAGTTAAATTGTCACCAAAATTTCCTCTATCTGATGAAATTATATTACAATCTGCAGATATATCAGACTCGTTGACTTGGGGTTCCTCGATTTCTGGATGGACATCCGATAAAGTGCTTGGCTTTCTTCTATTAAAAAAATTATTAAAAAATAAATACGAATGCTTTGATACTAAACTAAAAAGAGTTATATATAAATAAATAACTCCTGCAGTACCGGTCATCAGTAATTCATCAACGTTTCATAAACAGCCAAGGGTGTGCTGTTGATTATTCATCGATGACAGGACATACAAACTATTGATGTATTTAACATGGGTATGTCCTAGGTTGTCATCAATAAAAATTCATCAACAATTCATCGATGAAGAGCGTCGTAGTCGGCAGAGCGTCGCCTCGGTAGAAGTCGCAGTCGGCGCGTTGATGACATCGCTGTATGCGTGAGAGTGCTGCTGGCTCTAGACTCTAGAGTCTAGAGTCAGCACGAGAGAGTGGCTGGCTCTAGAGCGTGCCAGCACGAAAAAATAGTGTGCAAAAAAATAGTATGGCGTTACGAATCTTCCACTCTATACACTCTTTGGTAGTATTGTCGGTTTCGGTTGACAGTGTTCTCACTCATTTCATAGTTGTACAGTTGTTGATGAGTGTAGCGAAATTGGTGTACAGTAGTCAACGCACTGCAGTTGACTTGCTGTACAGTGAGTGAAACTTCATGACTAGTACATACACACATATAGAGTTCTCGTTTGTTTGTATATGTCATGGAAAGAATACGATTAAAAAATTGATTTGTATTTTCGTTTCAAATGTATTTATTACAAAATAAAGAAATCAGAAATTTAGAAAATAATAATATTTTACTTAAAAATAGATATAATAATTATTTTATGTTATTAAAGAATTTATATTTAAATTATTAATATTGAAATGCAGAAACATTATTTTATTTACCATGTCTTCAGTGGTGGCAATTTTCGATCGTAAATGAAATTTTTTGCAACAGAAAATGCCCTTTCCGATGCCGCACTGCTCGCGGGAG